AGGGGGCGGTGCTCTGAGGGGCGGGGCCGGTCGAGGGGGCGGTGCTCTGAGGGGAGGGGCGGGGCCGGGGTGGGTGGAGCCGCCGCGGGAGGCCCCGCCATGGGCCAGCGAGAATCCAGGACAGGAGCGACGGGGCGGGCCGGAGCCGGAGGAGGGCCACGGCGCAGACCAGTGGGCTGCCTGGAGCCGGTCCTGCCGGGAGTTGGCTTGCGGCGCTCAGTTCCTCAGCTCGGGTAGCTCTGGCGGAGTCTGCGCGATGGGCGACCCGGAAAGGCCGGAAGCGGCCGGGCTGGAGGAGGATGAGGTAAATGCTGCAGTCGCTTCATCCTCCGCCCCAGGCTCATGCCCGCACTGTAGGCTGCCGGGGACCTGCAAGTCCTGGGGCTGCTGTAGGGTACTGTTTTAGTCGTCGCCGTCAGAAAGCCAGTGCAGGCCGGAAGGAAGCGCCCTCGCTGCAGGCCGGGGGTGGGGGGTCGGGGAGGTCGGCCCCCCGCTCAGGGCTGGTCCCGGACCACCTCAGGCCCTGCCCGGGAACGCCCCTTGTTATCCGGCTCTCCAGTCTCCCTGTCTGCAGCCCTGGCGACTGCGAGGGGCTGTGGCGAATCTACCCCAGAGATGCGAATCATCCCTGTGCAGTTAAAGAGCCGAGGAGCGTGTGTGCACTGGCGCAGGTGCATGAGGGGGAGCGGACGGGGCGGGCCGAGAAAGGCTTACAACGAAGAAAAAGGAGGTTAGGAGGCTAGTTTTGCTCAGACTGAACCACTAACTGGATCTTCGGGGTGTCTGCCTCTTCATTGCAACGGTGGAAATGTTGCTTCCTTCACAAAGAACGAAGTGCTTTATGCAAAGTGCCACGGTGCTTAATAAATCTAAAATTAACTCACTCATCCTCTGCTTCTGTGCTAGCAGAAAGAAGTACGTAATAACACAAATAAACATTAGATTATAGGAGTGCATAGTAATTTAAATTATTGTATAATTTCCAGTACCCCATTTTTGGGGGCAAATATTTTAAGACATTGGAATATGAGTAATACTTTTGTGTCCCTGTGTGGTGTCTTGAATTTAATACTGTGGCAGTTTGGAAGGAATATAAAGTTTCAGCCCACAGACTGCTTAAACTGGCATTTCTAGACAAAGATGTAGATTCCAAGTTGATTTTTATTTTGTAAACATTTTGTAATAAATTGTGACTATTCCTTATTTTTTTTCTCCTTGAAACAAAGGTACTTAGTACCAGTTTCTCCACCTAGGTGAAAATTCAGACTTCTCTGGTTTGCCAGTGACATCAGGAGCCATTTTGGCTTAACACCTGGAAGTTAACTTTTTTTTATTACTCTTGATTCATAAAGACAGAACAGAATTTTAGACTAGAATGAATTTTAGTGAGTATTTTTAATGAGTCCAAAAGTTTTTTGTGATGCAGAGATATCTTAAGCACTTTGTTTCTCTGGATATGATAGAGCAGTGTGGGCTATTTGTATCCGAATCATCTGGAGTAATTAATAAAAGCTAAGTTACTGGGCCCACAACCCGCATTTGTAACAAGCACTTCAGGTGATGGTGGTGTACTTGATTTAAGTGTCATCCTAAAGGGTCAGTAGATGAGGTTTCTGAGTTTCCTTTGTTAGATGTAGATTTTGTATGTGAATCGACAGAGAAAGGGGTCCATAGCATTCATCAGTTCCTCAAAACATCCAAGATTAAAAAGCTCAGGCCAGAAAACCCTGCTAGGGCTCACTGCTAGGACTGGGTTCAGCTCCCCAGGTTGTTACTCCTCAGCCTGGGTTCCATCAGCTTCAGATTTGTTGGTGATACAAGAACGAAATGATGCTTTGAAAAAGTACATGACTGCAGCAGCATGCACGTAAGTGGAGGAGACGCACGAGGTGGCCACACGCCAGTGGCGGAAGTACGGGAGAGAGGTGAGGCGTTCGGGTGCCAGGCTAGATTAGGTCAGTGTAGGTGCCTTTTGGGGAATCGTGACCTAGATCTCTGTCTCAGCAACTCTTCAGCCCGGATGACCAGAAACTAAGACAGAAGAGACTGAGCACAAGTGTGGGAAAGGTGGAATCTTGCCGAGGATGATCTACTGCCCAGCTTTATTTCAGGTCCTATCACTTCATCTTGGTGCAGTTACAGCTAAGTTGTCTCTCTACTGCTGTCAGTCTTTCCTGCCATCCAGTCCTGCGTACCTTTGCCAAGTCTGTATTAAATTAACGGTTTGTTGTGACTTCCTAATACTAATTCTACAAAAGGTCTCTCAAGCTCTCAGTTCCCATAAAAAATAGTAAGACCCACTAGCAAGGTCCTATCAAAGTCAAGCTTTTTTTAATTTCAATTTACACATCTTAATTTATGTGTTCATGTTCTCATTTCCATTTCTGAAATTCATACATTATATGTTACAAAATCTATTTTCTTCCTTCCTTCCTTTCTTCCCTCTTTCCTTCCTTCCTTTCTTCTTTCTTTCCTTCCTTCCTTCCTTCTTTCTTTCCTTCCTTCCCTCCTTCCCTCCCTC